TTATCAAAATAGTATCAGTGCCCTAATTATTTGCACTATAATGTCATTGCTTTTAGCTATACAGTAAACTGCTCAATAGACCTAATCGGCTTCAACCCAATTCAAACCACTGGGAGTAAGTTTAATTGTTTGTTGTATTTTCATTTCACAGTTGAATTCTTAGAAACAAAGGTTCTTTTTCCCCACAGGATTTGAATTGGGTGGCAATGTACATAGCAACGCCGTTAGCCGATTAGGTCTATCTCATTAATGAACCCATAAAACCCTTTCGATAAATTTTGCTCTGGAGATAGATCTATTTTTAGTAGACTCAGTAAAAGTCACTGAAGTGATGGTGTTCATAGACTGCATTCATTTTAAAACACTTAGTAAGATATTGAACTTTTCAAACAGAAGACGATTATTTACTATAATTTTATTAGCAGACTGTTTCACAGATATTGAATGCATTCTTTAGTGTGTTAGTTTGTATTACAGTGTAAATATTACTGACGTTTGTTGCAACATAGAAAGACAATTAAGAATTTCATAGAAATGCTATTTTATATGAATATACAATTCTTCGTGTGCAACCACATGACTTGGAATCCCCTGAGAAATAAACAACAAAGCAATCGCCGCCATGTTGGATGAATGAACAAGAGAAACTAATGAGGAATGCTTTGTGATCTTCATCCAACATGGCGGTGATGACGTAACTTGCACGCCAAGAATATTGATGACTAAGATTTATGAAATAAATCATGGAAAATAGAAGTATTTTAGTATGTATTGCCATTAAATGGTGTATGTATAGTTGCTATTTAAGATGCTACAGTAGGCATATGAATAAAAGAGTTAAAGAAATATCTCTTCCTCTATTTTTTTAGTCTATGCTATGGAGAGAGATTTTTAGAGAAAAGGTTCATAATCCATGAAATTTTACTAACCTCTTCAGGGGTGGATCCAGAGGGGGGGATGAATTTACTGATCAAAATATATTTTAAAACCACTAACAATATTTTTCCGAGCGTGTGACGTGTCAAAAAAAATGCCAAAAGATGTTTTTCTTTATTTACCTCATGATTGTAAGCCGCGTGGCTGCCAATTGCGCCTTAAACAGCGGTCCGTGTGAAATGATCTATACATGTGAAGCGCCTTTGAACTCAGAGGATATCGGCGCTATGTAAATACCACATATTATTATTATTATATTATATTATCGTCTTTGAAGAAATTAGAAAGAGGAAAATCCTTTTAACATTACAATAAGAAATCTAGAGTACCGGGCTTTAAGTGAGAAAATGGGGGGAGGGAATTTCCCCTTTTCCCCTCCCCTGAATCCATCCCTGCTGTTTGTCCTATTTTGTGAAATGAGAAACAATTGTGATTCAAAGTATTCAAAGCACGATTAGAGTGAAATCAAAGAACATAAACTAGACATTACACTTATACACCTAGCCTGACTTAAGACTATTACAAATATTCATGTTGGACAATCTCGCTATTCTCGACCATGAATATTAATAGTCTGCGAATCAGTCTATCATGGCAGTTATACGTTTGACTTTTTGAGAGGAGAGGGGGTGGATGATTTGGTAGGTGAAGGGAATTTTTTTATGACCCGAAGCAAGTGCCCGAAATATATTTAAAAATTGCAAAGATTATTGTGAAAATTTCGCCTTTCAGGAATTTCTTTCGGCTTTTTGGACAATTCATAAAATTTATTTTTAAAATCATCCACGGGTTAGCCCCTTTAGTACCAGTAAAAACACGCGGCCTTTTTATAAAAGATTTTATTTCACGGTTTTAATGAAATTACTGTAAATACGTTCATGCACTTTTTCACCACAACATCAGATATCAAAAATCCTACTTAAAGTGAACTAAATGCAGAGGTGAGTCACAAATATGGTGAAGAGAGGTCAGTGTGTCAAATGCGTAGGCTTTGATTGAATCATAGTCATTATTAAACTTGGCAATGGCCACCAAAACTTGGGAATTTTTGGATGGTGGTATCTTGCGACACTCTAGATTCAATATTTTTTGAGCGCGATAATGCCATGRAAGTTTATCAAAGTATAGAATAACATTTCAGTGGATAAGTGGAAGGAATAAAAAAAATTAAGTGATTTGCGGCATGCCGTCTTGGTCACCTTGGCTCATTGACTGTTAATTGTTTCTTAAACCGTGCAATTAATTACTTAGTATTTAACTGTACCATTGTATCTCCTACCTATCTGCGTGCCTTGTTGATTTTTTTTTGTCACAGACATTTTCCTCATTATACACGAGAAATAATCTTTGCGGTGAGTGTGATCGTGTTCGATATGTGGTAGTTATTTGCTTTTTGGATTGTTTGTAGTTAATGTGTGATTGGTTTATAATATATATACTGTATAAAGTCTTATATCGACGGTGGATATGGAAGACGTTCCTTTATTAGCGATGAATCACTCTGCTAGTCTTGTTCAGTCTAAGCGGCTTGTGACGTAATCCTGAATTTCGTGGAATTTCAACTTGCYTTGGRTCWCTGTTGYCTCACTATTGGCTGAGTMGGAGGGGGAATCCCCAMAATGTAGATGTGTATATATTTGCTCGTTACAAGCGTTACAGCCATGAATCATGCAAGRGCACCATGTCCTTGCTAGGTAGTTCAGAGTATTCAAACCTGGTTATATGCTAAGGCGTTCTTGCCATTGTTAAGTAATGATGAGTCAAGAAAGCTTTCATACTCCAAAAGAGATTTCTACGGAGCGGAGTTACGACGAACTCTCTGACAATCTCGACCGAGAGAGGATATCTATCGATGACGTGGAGGTTAGACATTCGTTGCTTAATTTTCGCAATTATGCCAATCAAGACATTAAATGTAACATAAACTTAGTTTTGTGCGATTTGCATATTACTTTCGATCGGTTTAACTGTACTTTGCTGGTGAACTGCGCCAGGCTATGAAGTGAACTGAATTCTGTTTTCTTTGTAGTACGAAAACACGACGACGTCTCACAGAAAAGACCCGCGTATCAAAGCAAATTGTTTGCCAGTCGCCTTGCTATTGTTCCTCTTCATTGTCCTCAATATCGAGGTGAGTTTGTTGCTAAAAAGATTGTCTTAAAGGTGTGCATTGGGAATTGGGGAATTTGCCTTTTGTGAGGCTGGGAATTGGGATTTGTCCAATGGGATTGGGATTTGTCCAATGGGATTGGGATTTGTGCATTGGAATTGGGAATTTTTGGAATTGGGATTTGTCACTTGGAATCTGTCCACTGGAATTGGGATTTGTTC